CGGGGCTGGGCGCCCTGGAGCCGCCTCTGCCCTGCGGGTGCCCCCGCGCCCCTAGGGACGCCCCCCACCTTCGGCCACCCCTCCCAGGCCAGGCCCCGTGTGGCGCCCACCCTGAGGCTTCGGCTGCCGTGCTCAGCCTGGTGGCGCGGGGCCTGCCCAGGGCCCTCAGCCGGTGCCAAGGAGACACAGACACCGAACCTTGCCCGCGCCTGGACCACGTCCGCCAGAAGGTGCCCTGGGGGCCTGCGCCCCCAAGCGCCTGCTCGGCCACCTTGCGTGTCACCTGCGGTTCCGTGTTCCGTGGCGGTCAAAGCCCGCAGCAGCCTCTGAACCCGCAGAGAGGGAGGTGGTCACCCCGGGAAGGGTGGGGCTTGCGAGGTGCTTCTGGCTGACCCTGGACGTCTCGATAGGAGGGGAGCCGGGGCTCGAGAAGGGTCTGGGGGACCAGCGCCCCGTATGCACACGACTGAGCTCGTTTCTTGGGGTCCCTCCCTTCCTGCTCTGCCCGGAGCCAGCGGACGGAGGCCAGGCCCACCCTGAGGCCCTCGGGCCCCCCCAGCTGCACAGCAGACGCAGCCCAGGCGAGCCTGTCCCTGCAGTCTCAGCTCCTGGGCCTGGGCCTCAGGGCGCCCCCAGGGCAGCCGGCTGGAGGTGGCTCCTCTCCTCTCCCGCTGGAATCCGTGGAATTTGGTCTTCAACCGTGGGGGTGCAGCGCCTCAGGGCTGGAGCCTCTCTCAGACCAGGGGGGGGCCACTGGGTAATCGGAGCTGTTTACAAAGGACTGTAAGTCAGTAATCCATCGGAGGGAAGGCCGCTCCTCTTTGTCTTCACAGAGTGTTTGTTTACCCAAGAGGTGCAGGCAGAGGTGCCGGTGGGGTGCGGGGCACCCCAGACACAGAGCGGGGAGCAGAGCAGGCGGTCCACCGAGCCCCACTCCTGTGGGGGCAGCGGGGCGCGGGGTCTGCCGCCTGGGGTCCCTCCTGGGCAGTGGACCAGACAACTGCCGCCAGGGAGGCCGAGGTCTGCAGCCCCGGCCTGTGGGCAGGAGACGCGCCCGGAGGGGCAGAGACCAGGCGTGGCCTGCGAGCAGGGCTGGGGCTCAGTGAGCCGGGGGTGGCCCCGGGGGCCCTCAGGCAGGGAGAGCGGCTGGAGGGGTCGGCAGGGACCCCTCGCCGCCTGAGCCCCGGGGCCCCCGATGGGCAGGCAGGGTCACCCCCGGCTGCGGGCCACGGCCTGGGCGAGGTGTCCTCAGCCTTGAGCCTGACAGAGCCAAGCGGCTTTTCACATGGGCGGGGCCGCGCCGGGGCAGGGGTGGCCCGTGCCCAGTGCCCGAAGGACCCAGGGTGCCCCGGCCCGGGGCCCCTCGGGCCAGGCCGCGGCCGATGTCCACCGCCACAGGCAGGTGAGGGCGTGAGGCCGGCTGCTGCCGCGGGACACGGAGCGAGGCGCCGCCGGGATGTGGGCCCAGGGCCGGTCTGGGCGTCGGGGTCCCTGGGAGGCGGGCGGGAGCCAGAGGGGCCGAGGCGAGGTGTCCTCAGCCTTGAGCCTGACAGAGC